TGACATACATGTATATCTAAACAACAGATTGGACCCCGTAAATATGTACAATTACAATGTGTCAATTAAAATAAATCTTAAAAAATGCTAAGCTCTGATTTATTCCACACTGTGCCCAAAATGTGTATAGAATTGAGTAGTTCACTCACTGTTCCTCATATGTGAAGGACAGAATTGTGTACCTTTGAGAATCTGCATCTCTGAGGTGTCATTTCTTATTTGTGCTGAGCTGCAATCCTGACTGTGATTTATTAGCTCTGTGGCCTTTGTCAAGTCACTTAATCTTTCTAAATTTGCTTTTTAATCATTATTTGTAAAACAGTTAATTATACTGCCCACCTTGTGAGTTTTCTGTACAAACAAATGACCACATCAAAGTCCCTGGCACAGACATGTGAGTTTAATGTTTTTCTGGTCACTAGAGCACAGCCTTGCTCCTGGGGAGGTCTGGCTTAGAGACCCACCCCCCACATCCCATAATCAGTTCTGAAAAGACGCCATGGCTCCTGTTTTCCTGCAGACATGGACAGGAGAAGATGAAGGGCTCTGTCCTTCCTCCATTTGCAGCTTGAATGTAAAAGCAGCCAAGTTAGGGTGAGATACTCTCCTTCCGGCCCAGACCATCTCGAAACTTGAGGCTCATGGCTGATACCCTGTGTCACCGAGGCCAAGAGTGTGTTGATAAGAGACTGTGCGCCTGGGCGCAGAGCGCGCTTCCAAACTCCTGCTCGCACAGCCCCTCCTTCCTCAAGGAATTCCCGTGGCCTCCAAACACACCCCTCCTGCGTTTGTGCCTGGGCTCGGCCTGTCTTCCCCTCTCTCCACCCTCGCCGTCTGCAGTATCCCTGTACGTCCTCCTTCGCTCACCTCATCGGTCCAGGGGACCCAACTCCGGGAGTGTGTCCAGTGCGAGCAGGCAGGGCCATGTCTGTGCTGTGCTGTACTTATCCTGACTCCCTGATCACCTCCCCCTGCAGCTGTATCTCCGCAGCTGGATCATAAACTCCCCAAGGACAACTCATACCCACCTTACCCTTACCTGGATTCTGAGCTTACTTAAAAATCATTACTGCTTCTCTTCCCATCTTTCATTGGCAGTGGCTCTATCACTTTTTAAGATGAAAATCTCTACTTGTAGGCTGATTATAACTTTTTTTTTTTTGCACACAATGTATCTGAAGATGTGAGATTTGGTGAGCTCTGTTCCTGTTAATTGCTGTTTGATCTCAGACAGGTGACGTAACCCATTCCAGCCTCAGTTTCTTCATCTCTAAAGTTATCCAGCCAGCCGAGAGCCATGGGGTGGCACCTGGCTCCTGGAGGGAAAGTCCTCCCAGGAAAGGGCTCCTGGAAATCCCGGAGCAGGGGGGAGAGAGGAGTTTGATGTCATGGCCACAAAATAAAGGAAGTCTCATCTTCCAGACACTGTTCTTGGTCTCCCCTGATGAGAGCCCAGGAAATGGGGATGGCTCCTTTTCAGGAAATGGACAAATGCTTCTCAGCATGTCGTAGAAAATGTCCTGGGGGCAGGGCAGGAGGTCCCTCACCTGAGGGTCTGTAGTTCTGAGGGAAACCATGCACACAGGGGACCTCCCTGCAAACTACCAAAGGGCCCCTCTGAGGGGTGAACTACCAGAGGCCCCTCCTCAGGCTGGAGTATGCCCAGCCCACCCAGGCTGAGACTGCACCCTCACTCCCCAACT